GTTCAGTTCTAGTTCAGTTCTAGTTCAGTTCTAGTTCAGTTCTAGTTCAGTTCTAGTTCAGTTCTAGTTCAGTTCTAGTTCAGTTCTAGTTCAGTTCTAGTTCAGTTCTAGTTCAGTTCTAGTTCAGTTCTATTTCAGTTCTAGTTCAGTTCTAGTTCAGTTCTAGTTCTAGTCTAGTTCAGTTCTAGTTCTTCTAGTTCAGTTCTAGTTCAGTTCTAGTTCAGTTCTAGTTCAGTTCTAGTTCAGTTCTAGTTCAGTTCTAGTTCAGTTCTAGTTCAGTTCTAGTTCAGTTCTAGTTCAGTTCTAGTTCAGTTCTAGTTCAGTTCTAGTTCAGTTCTAGTTCAGTTCTAGTTCAGTTCTAGTTCAGTTCTAGTTCAGTTCTAGTTCAGTTCTAGTTCATTCTAGTTCAGTTCTAGTTCAGTTCTAATTCAGTTCTAGTTCAGTTCTAGTTCATCTATTAGTTCAGTTAGTTCTAGTTCAGTTCTAGTTCAGATCTATTGAGTTCAGTTCAGTTCTAGTTCAGTTCTAGGTTCTAGTTCAGTTCTAGTTCAGTTCTAGTTCAGTTCTAGTTCAGTTCTAGTTCAGTTCTAGTTCAGTTCTAGTTCAGTTCTAGTCAGTTCTAGTTCAGTTCTAGTTCAGTTCTAGTTCAGTTCTAGTTCAGTTCTAGTTCAGTTCTAGTTCAGTTCTAGTTCAGTTCTAGTTCAGTTCTAGTTCAGTTCTAGTTCAGTTCTAGTTCAGTTCTAGTTCAGTTCTAGTTCAGTTCTAGTTCAGTTCTAGTTCAGTTCTAGTTCAGTTCTAGTTCAGTTCTAGTTCAGTTCTAGTTCAGTTCTAGTTCAGTTCTAGTTCAGTTCTAGTTCAGTTCTAGTTCAGTTCTAGTTCAGTTCTAGTTCAGTTCTAGTTCAGTTCTAGTTCAGTTCTAGTTCAGTTCTAGTTCAGTTCTAGTTCAGTTCTAGTTCAGTTCTAGTTCAGTTCTAGTTCAGTTCTAGTTCAGTTCTAGTTCAGTTCTAGTTCAGTTCTAGTCAGTTCTAGTTCAGTTCTAGTTCAGTTCTAGTTCAGTTCTAGTTCAGTTCTAGTTCAGTTCTAGTTCAGTTCTAGTTCAGTTCTAGTTCAGTTCTAGTTCAGTTCTAGTTCAGTTCTAGTTCAGTTCTAGTTCAGTTCTAGTTCAGTTCTAGTTCAGTTCTAGTTCAGTTCTAGTTCAGTCTAGTTCAGTTCTAGTTGAATTCTAGTTCAGTTCTAGTTCAGTTCTATTAGTTCTAGTTCAGTTCTAGTTCAGATCTATTCAGTTCAGTTCAGTTCTAGTTCAGTTCTAGTTCAGTTCTAGTTCAGTTCTAGTTCAGTTCTAGTTCAGTTCTAGTTCAGTTCTAGTTCAGTTCTTCTAGTTCAGTTCTAGTTCAGTTCTAGTTCAGTTCTAGTTCAGTTCTAGTTCAGTTCTAGTTAGTTCTAGTTCAGTTCTAGTTCAGTTCTAGTTCAGTTCTAGTTCAGTTCTAGTTCAGTTCTAGTTCAGTTCTAGTTCAGTTCTATTCAGTTCTAGTTCTAGTTCAGTTCTAGTTCAGTTCTAGTTCAGTTCTAGTTCAGTTCTAGTTCAGTTCTAGTTCAGTTCTAGTTCAGTTCTAGTTCAGTTCTAGTTTCTAGTTCAGTTCTAGTTCAGTTCTAGTTCAGTTCTAGTTCAGTTCTAGTTCAGTTCTAGTTCAGTTCTAGTTCAGTTCTAGTTCAGTTCTAGTTCAGTTCTAGTTCAGTTCTAGTTCAGTTCTAGTTCAGTTCTAGTTCAGTTCTAGTTCAGTTCTAGTTCAGTTCTAGTTCAGTTCTAGTTCAGTTCTAGTTCAGTTCTAGTTCAGTTCTAGTTCAGTTCTAGTTCAGTTCTAGTTCAGTTCTAGTTCAGTTCTAGTTCAGTTCTAGTTCAGTTCTAGTTCAGTTCTAGTTCAGTTCTAGTTCAGTTCTAGTTCAGTTCTAGTTCAGTTCTAGTTCAGTTCTAGTTCAGTTCTAGTTCAGTTCTAGTTCAGTTCTAGTTCAGTTCTAGTTCAGTTCTAGTTCAGTTCTAGTTCAGTTCTAGTTCAGTTCTAGTTCAGTTCTAGTTCAGTTCTAGTTCAGTTCTAGTTCAGTTCTAGTTCAGTTCTAGTTCAGTTCTAGTTCAGTTCTAGTTCAGTTCTAGTTCAGTTCTAGTTCAGTTCTAGTTCAGTTCTAGTTCAGTTCTAGTTCAGTTCTAGTTCAGTTCTAGTTCAGTTCTAGTTCAGTTCTAGTTCAGTTCTAGTTCAGTTCTAGTTCAGTTCTAGTTCAGTTCTAGTTCAGTTCTAGTTCAGTTCTAGTTCAGTTCTAGTTCAGTTAGTTCAGTTCTAGTTCAGTTCTAGTTCAGTTCTAGTTCAGTTCTAGTTCAGTTCTAGTTCAGTTCTAGTTCAGTTCTAGTCAGTTCTAGTTCAGTTCTAGTTCAGTTCTAGTTCAGTTCTAGTTCAGTTCTAGTTCAGTTCTAGTTCAGTTTAGTTCAGTTCTAGTTCAGTTTAGTTCAGTTCTAGTTCAGTTCGAGTTCAGTTCTAGTTCAGTTCTAGTTCAGTTCTAGTTCAGTTCTAGTTCAGTTCTAGTTCAGTTCTAGTTCAGTTCTAGTTCAGTTCTAGTTCAGTTCTAGTTCAGTTCTAGTTCAGTTCTAGTTCAGTTCTAGTTCAGTTCTAGTTCAGTTCTAGTTCAGTTCTAGTTCAGTTCTAGTTCAGTTCTAGTTCAGTTCTAGTTCAGTTCTAGTTCAGTTCTAGTTCAGTTCTAGTTCAGTTCTAGTTCAGTTCTAGTTCAGTTCTAGTTCAGTTCTAGTTCAGTTCTAGTTCAGTTCTAGTTCAGTTCTAGTTCAGTTCTAGTTCAGTTCTAGTTCAGTTCTAGTTCAGTTCTAGTTCAGTTCTAGTTCAGTTCTAGTTCAGTTCTAGTTCAGTTCTAGTTCAGTTCTAGTTCAGTTCTAGTTCAGTTCTTAGTTCAGTTCTAGTTCAGTTCTAGTTCAGTTCTAGTTCAGTTCTAGTTCAGTTCTAGTTCAGTTCTAGTTCAGTTCTATTCAGTTCTAGTTCAGTTCTAGTTCAGTTCTAGTTCAGTTCTAGTTCAGTTCTAGTTCAGTTCTAGTTCAGTTCTAGTTCAGTTCTAGTTCAGTTCTAGTTCAGTTCTAGTTCAGTTCTAGTTCAGTTCTAGTTCAGTTCTAGTTCAGTTCTAGTCAGTTCTAGTTCAGTTCTAGTTCAGTTCTAGTTCAGTTCTAGTTCAGTTCTAGTTCAGTTCTAGTTCAGTTCTAGTTCAGTTCTAGTTCAGTTCTAGTTCAGTTCTAGTTCAGTTCTAGTTCAGTTCTAGTTCAGTTCTAGTTCAGTTCTAGTTCAGTTCTAGTTCAGTTCTAGTTCAGTTCTAGTTCAGTTCTAGTTCAGTTCTAGTTCAGTTCTAGTTCAGTTCTAGTTCAGTTCTAGTTCAGTTCTAGTTCAGTTCTAGTTCAGTTCTAGTTCAGTTCTAGTTCAGTTCTAGTTCAGTTCTAGTTCAGTTCTAGTTCAGTTCTAGTTCAGTTCTAGTTCAGTTTAGTTCAGTTCTAGTTCAGTTCTAGTTCAGTTCTAGTTCAGTTCTAGTTCAGTTCTAGTTCAGTTCTAGTTCAGTTCTAGTTCAGTTCTAGTTCAGTTCTAGTTCAGTTCTAGTTCAGTTCTAGTTCAGTTCTAGTTCAGTTCTAGTTCAGTTCTAGTTCAGTTCTAGTTCAGTTCTAGTTCAGTTCTAGTTCAGTTCTAGTTCAGTTCTAGTTCAGTTCTAGTTCAGTTCTAGTTCAGTTCTAGTTCAGTTCTAGTTCAGTTCTAGTTCAGTTCTAGTTCAGTTCTAGTTCAGTTCTAGTTCAGTTCTAGTTCAGTTCTAGTTCAGTTCTAGTTCAGTTCTAGTTCAGTTCAGTTCAGTTCTAGTTCAGTTCTAGTTCAGTTCTAGTTCAGTTCTAGTTCAGTTCTAGTTCAGTTCTAGTTCATTCTAGTTCAGTTCTAGTTCAGTTCTAGTTCAGTTCTAGTTCAGTTCTAGTTCAGTTCTAGTTCAGTTCTAGTTCAGTTCTAGTTCAGTTCTAGTTCAGTTCTAGTTCAGTTCTAGTTCAGTTCTAGTTCAGTTCTAGTTCAGTTCTAGTTCAGTTCTAGTTCAGTTCTAGTTCAGTTCTAGTTCAGTTCTAGTTCAGTTCTAGTTCAGTTCTAGTTCAGTTCTAGTTCAGTTCTAGTTCAGTTCTAGTTCAGTTCTTTCAGTTCTAGTTCAGTTCTAGTTCAGTTCTAGTTCAGTTCTAGTTCTTCTAGTTTCTAGTTCAGTTCTAGTTCAGTTCTAGTTCAGTTCTAGTTCAGTTCTAGTTCAGTTCTAGTTCAGTTCTAGTTCAGTTCTAGTTCAGTTCTAGTTCAGTTCTAGTTCAGTTCTAGTTCAGTTTCTAGTTCAGTTCTAGTTAGGTAGTTCTTAGTTCAGTTCTAGTTCAGTTCTAGTTCAGTTCTAGTTCAGTTCTAGTTCAGTTCTAGTTCAGTTCTAGTTCAGTTCTAGTTCAGTTCTAGTTCAGTTCTAGTTCAGTTCTAGTTCAGTTCTAGTTCAGTTCTAGTTCAGTTCTAGTTCAGTTCTAGTTCAGTTCTAGTTCAGTTCTAGTTCAGTTCTAGTTCAGTTCTAGTTCAGTTCTAGTTCAGTTCTAGTTCAGTTCTAGTTTCAGTTCTAGTTCAGTTCTAGTTCAGTTCTAGTTCAGTTCTAGTTCAGTTCTAGTTCAGTTCTAGTTCAGTTCTAGTTCAGTTCTAGTTCAGTTCTAGTTCAGTTCTAGTTCAGTTCTAGTTCAGTTCTAGCTCAGTTCTAGTTCAGTTCTAGTTCAGTTCTAGTTCAGTTCTAGCTCAGTTCTAGTTCAGTCCTAGTTCAGTTCTAGTTCGGTTCTAGTAGATTCCTGTATTACAAGATGAATGCAATTGGTTTTGCATAAGTTCCTGTTTTACACATCCAGTATGGGTTATTCATAGAAGAAAATTTAATTTTCAAACAAATTTCTTTTCCTAAATTGTCTCCATATTTACAGCATTTTTTCCCGCATTAATAACTCCCTTATTCATATTGTTATGTACACTTATTATGGTTTAAGTGCTTGTGGCCCAGTAATACAAAAATATTTATGGTGGAAAAATATTTAACCGCCATCCAGTTGGTATGTAACTCAAATTACAAATCTCTCTTTTTACAGATTATAATTTAATTATGTTTCATATTTTTTTTACAGCTACAATTTACCACCGGCTTGCTGTGGGCTCTACAGGCCATTGCCACTCAATGTGATTTTCCATTATGGATCAACTGTGCCACCATTATCTATATGATAACATTTTTAATACTTTTCGGACGTTTTTATAGACGTAAATAATTCCGTCGTTTGACGGTGAAACAGAAAAATCCATAAAATCAATGTAAAATGTAAGTAAGTTATAGAAAATTAGAATTTCGAAGTAATAACCAAACAAAAAAAGTGTTTAAAAAATATAGAAAAGCGAAAACGGTGTTGTGCCGTTTGGAAAAGTTATATTTAGTGGGTTTGATGGCAAATAATAATAACGACCATTTGAGTAAAATTGTCTATAACAAATCTAATTATGTGCCAACCAATAAAGGTATTTGGTTTGGGAAACACTTTTTATATAACACATGAGTGTAGTCCATTAAATAGAGGGGAAAATAAAAATAATTTTATGAAATTTACGATTATGTTGCCGAAAAGAAATGTTAACAATATTGAAGGCGGTCTATTTTCTTCCTACAGTACAAAGTGTGAAATATACTACAAAAATCTGTGGCAAGTTTTTAATTTAAAAGAAACGCTTTTAAAATCAGGTGTACCATCCTGTAGGACGGTAATAAGTGTTCTAAAAGCCACTCCTGTAGGAGAGTAATTAATGTTCGAGTAATTAAACTAATAGAATAAAATAAATAAATAAATAACTAACTAACTAACTAACTAACTAACTAACTAACTAACTAACTAACTAACTAACTAACTAACTAACTAACTAACTAAACTACTAACTAACTACTAACTAGACTAACTAACTAACTAACTAACTAACTAACTAACTAACACTAACTAACTAACTAACTACTAACTAACTAACTAACTAACTAACTAACTAACTAACTAACTAACTAACTAACTAACTAACTAACTAACTAACTAACTAACTAACTAACTAACTAACTAACTAACTAACTACTAACTAACCTAACTAACTACTACTAACTAACTAACTAACTAACTAACTAACTAACTAACTAACTAACTAACTAACTAACTAACTAACTAACTAACTAACTAACTAACTAACTAACTAACTAACTATAAACTAACTAACTAACTAACTAACTAACTAACTAACTAACTAACTAACTAACTAACTACTAACTAACTAACTAACTACTAACTAACTAACTAACTACTAACTAACTAACTAACTAACTAACTAACTAACTAACTAACTAACTAACTAACTACTAACTAACTAACTAACTAACTTAACTAACTAACTAACTAACTACTAACTAACTAACTACTAACTAACTAACTAACTAACTAACTAACTAACTAACTAACTAACTAACTAACTAACTAACTAACTAACTAACTAACTACTAACTAACTAACTAACTAACTAACTAACTAACTAACTAACTAACTAACTAACTAACTAACTAACTAACTAACTAACTAACTAACTAACTAACTACTAACTAACTAACTAACTAACTAACTAACTAACTAACTAACTAACTAACTAACTAACTAACTAACTAACTAACTAACTAACTAACTAACTAACTAACTACTAACTAACTAACTAACTAACTAACTAACTAACTAACTAACTAACTAACTAACTAACTAACTAACTAACTAACTAACTAACTAACTAACTAACTAACTAACTAACTAACTAACTAACTAACTAACTAACTAACTAACTAACTAACTACTAACTAACTAACTAACTAACTAACTAACTAACTAACTAACTAACTAACTAACTAACTAACTAACTAACTAACTAACTAACTAACTAACTAACTAACTACTAACTAACTAACTAACTAACTAACTAACGAACTAACTAACTAACTAACTAACTAACTAACTAACTAACTAACTACTAACTAACTAACTAACTAACTACTAACTAACTAACTAACTAACTAACTAACTAACTAACTACTAACTAACTAACTAACTAACTAACTAACTAACTAACTAACTAACTAACTACTAACTAACTAACTAACTACTAACTAACTAACTAACTACTAACTACTACTAACTAACTAACTAACTAACTAACTAACTAACTAACTAACTACTACTAACTAACTAACTAACTAACTAACTAACTAACTAACTAACTAACTAACTAACTAACTAACTAACTAACTAACTAACTAACTAACTAACTAACTAACTACTAACTAACTAACTACAACTAACTAACTAACTAACTAACTAACTAACTAACTACTAACTAACTAACTAACTAACTAACTAACTACTAACTAACTAACTAACTAACTAACTACTAACTAACTACTAACTAACTAACTAACTAACTAACTAACTAACTACTAACTAACTACTAACTAACTACTAACTAACTAACTAACTAACTAACTAACTAACTAACTAACTAACTAACTAACTAACTAACTAACTAACTAACTAACTAACTAACTAACTAACTAACTAACTAACTAACTAACTAACTAACTAACTAACTAACTAACTAACTAACTAACTAACCTAACTAACTACTACACTAACTAACTAACTAACGAACTAACTAACTAACTAACTACTAACTAACTAACTAACTAACTAACTAACTAACTAACTAACTAACTAAACTAACTAACTAACTAACTAACTAACTAACTAACTAACTACTAACTAACTAACTAACTAACTAACTAACTAACTAACTAACTAACTACAACTAACTAACTAACTAACTAACCAACTAACTAACTAACTAACTAACTAACTAACTAACTAACTAACACTAACTAACTAACTAACTACTAACTAACTAACCAACTAACTAACTAACTACTAACTAACTAATACTAACTAACTAACTACTTAAAACTAACTAACTAACTAACTAACTAACTAACTAACTAACTAACTAACTAACTACTAACTAACTAACTAACTAACTAACTAACTAACTAACTACTAAACTAACTAACTAACTAACTAACTAACTAACTAACTAAACTAACTAACTAACTAACTAACTAACTAACTAACTAACTAACTAACTAACTAACTAACTACTAACTAACTAACTAACTAACTAACTAACTAACTAACTAACTAACTAACTACTAACTAACTAACTAACTAACTAACTACTAACTAACTAACTAACTAACTACTAACTAACTACTAACTAACTAACTAACTAACTAACTAACTACTAACTAACTAACTGACTAACTAACTAACTATAACTAACTAACTACACTAACCTAACTAACTAACTAACTAACTAACTAACTAACTAACTAACTAACTAACCAACTAACTAACTAACTAACGGTGTTCTATGGACTTTTTTATAGTCTACTCTACTGATTGTCTATTCTATGGATACGTTTATTGACTAGTAACTAGTTGAGTATATTTACTAGTCTGTGAGCAAGTCAATGGACTAGTCTAACAAGTAACCTATTGGCTAATCAATTAAGAAATTCATTGCCTAGTGTACGTATTAGCCCTTCGACTATTTTATAGACGATATATTGACAAGTAAATGAACTAGACTATTGACTGCTCTAATGATCTAGCGAGAAAATTTAAGCTATCAACATTTTTAATACCAAAAATTTAAACTATCTACTATCCCTCACTTTTAAAATCACAAAATTTGCTGTTAAATTCTAAAATACTTTCTAACAAAAATAACCCAAATAAAAACAAACATTCATTCACACACAACAACTCCTTTTGTTAATTAGTTGCTACAAGGACATGATTACAGTGAAAAAAAAAAAAACATTTTGTTACCAATGTGTCTAACGATGATGATGACGATTGCGAATTTGCCATATAAATGAATTTCAAGGAGTATTTGTTCATTTAACAAAGGAACACAGAAAACATGAAAGAATTTTATTTGGGGGGCGGAAGTGAACTGTAAATACACTACTTAGCTAAAAAACAAAAGCATGTTTTTAGGCTCAGACAAAACATCATTTTAAGCAAAAGGTAAATTTAATTTTTTATAAAAATATATATAACTTTTCATAATATTGAAACATTATATGGGGTGTTTACAATAATTTTCTCCTATACTGCAAACCTTTAGACGAGCTCAAAATACTTGTTACCCTCTAAATATGTACTATATATGTATGTATGTCTAACTAACTTCTTTGGATTCTTTATAAACTTCTTCCTTTTTTTCCTTCCTTAATATCATAAGTACAAACCTATTGCAATTATTTAAGTCACGTACTTAATTCGATTTGTAGCACGAATTCATAAAATATTTGTAACAGAAACATTTCTTCACACAAAACACAAAGAAATGAATTGAAGGAGGAATGACAAAACAAGACTTAACTTGTTACTTAGATGAGCCATTTGTGGGCCTCTTTTTTTATTTTTTAACTATAACGTGTTAAGTAATTTAAGAAATTTTATAGGTATTTATAACTTTCAAATTGAAATTAATTTTTTTTAAGGGAAATTGTTTGTAAAAATAGCAAAGTGGTCGTAAAAAGTATTAAACAGCTAATTGTTAGATGGCCAAATGATCAGATAATTTGGAAAATGAGAAAATTTCGTGTAACAAATAAAGTTAGAGAAATGTTCTTTATAAAATATACAAAATTGGTTTGAATTTTTAAATTAAAGTAAAAAAATCTTTATTATAATAAATGCCTTCTTCTAATAACGTCTAAATTGCTTCTTAAATTTATCATAATGATAATCGTCAGTAGCTCTTTTAACACCATTGGGACCAACTTGATGTAAAGGATTTTGCGGTTGAGTTCCCTCGGCGCCACCACCTTCAGCAGGCTTGCGCTGTTGTTGAAATCTTCTTTTAGGATCATTGTTTTCCTCAATATTAACTAAAAAAATTACAAATTCAAAAAATGGAAATTTAATTTAAAACCAATTAACTTACATCGATTATGCTGCATAAAGTTCACCGCCATATTAGTGGGTACAAATTGTGAGGGTCCATCTTTTTTATTCTTTTGATCCTGCAGCAATTTCTGTTTGGCCTCTTCCGTAGCCTCAATATTCTTAATTTTGGCATCGATACCCAAATCCACTTCGGGTATACCATTTAACATTTGATTCGACAACATTTCCTCGGAACGATGTGAAGAAGATTGTCTTAAATGTTCGGGCAAGGCATAGAGGGCTGCTTCTTCGGGTGTTAAATACTTTTGAGGATCAGCTCCGGTTTCACTTTCTGGATTGGATTTTGTAAGACCTTTACGTTTATGTAATTCTTGTTCAATATACTTCATCATTTCCTCATCTTCATCACGTTTATTAGTTTCCGCTGAGAATTGTGTGCCTATGCCTACATCATAAGCATCATCGGATTCTTTAACATTGCCCGACTTTAGGGATTGCATGTTAACAAGACCACCTGTCTTAACATTAAAGGGATCTTTGAGTGTTATCTCCTCTTCGGGTGCTAATTTTTTGCCCAAAGCTAAACCTATAATACTAACGCCGTGAGGGCGTTCGCGTAGTTTTTGTCTTTCTTTAATTTCTTCCAAGGATAAGCTAAATAGTATAAAATAGCTTTTAGTTTGGGTAATTTCTATATAAATGTTTAAACTTACGGTTCTTCACTGGGTTCATCATCGGAATTCCGTCTTTGTCTTAAATTTTTACGCACTTTCTTTTTAAAAACAATTTTTTCACCCTCGTTGGAGTCTAGTTGTTCTTTTGCGACTTCCGACATGTTTAAGTTACGACTTTTTTTTGTTTATTTTTACTTAAAATATTAAATTTTTTGTTATAAATACGTGTTTACAAATAAAAACAATGTTTATCTTTGACATTTGCATTGTTTTTTTTTTTTTTTTGCAACAGCTGTATTAACTTTTATTTTATTTTGTATCACCCTGTTAGTGTAATTGTCATAAACAGCTTGTTTAAAAAACTTGGCATTACCATTTGTTTTGTTACATAATTTAAAAACTTGGCTTCACTTTTTACAAGAACTGTCAATAGTTGATCACATAACCGCAATTATTTTCTACAAGTTTTTGGTAAAATATTCATAAATTTCTAAATAAAAATTAAATAATTTGTTATTAATAATAAAACACAAATATTTTCTAACAGTGTCTACAACTAAGTTCAACAAAATGTTTGCCCCACGTTTGTTAGCTAGACAATTATGTCGCCAAGCCAATCGTCGCATGTTTTCTGAGGCCGCTCCAGCTGCTGCTGCCACCGGTGCCCCCAATCTAACACCTCCTCCCGCAGAAGGTGTTGCTAAACCCGTCAATCCCAAATTGGAAGGTATTGCCAACAGCATAGCCACCCTCAATCTTTTGGAAGTTTCCGAACTTAGTGCTCTTTTGAAAAAGAAACTTAACCTTCCCGAAACCGCATTTGTACCACAAATGGCTGCTGGCCCTGCTAGACCAGCTGCTGCCGCTGAAGATGAAGAAGAAGCTGCTCCCAAGAAAGTACAAACTTCTTTCAAAGTCAAGCTAGTTAAATTCGACGAGAAACAAAAGGTAGCGTTGATTAAGGAAGTCAAGAACTTGTTGGAAGGTATGAATTTAGTGCAAGCCAAGAAATTCGTTGAAAGTGCCCCCACAGTAGTCAAGGAAGACATACCCAAAGATGAGGCTGAGAAATTAAAAGAAGCCTTAGCTAAGGCTGGTGCTGTTATTGAAATTGAATAAATCAATCGTCAATACTTGTTATCCTACCTATAGTTTTTTAGTTTAACTATTTGCTAATTATGTTTAAAACGATACTAAATGAAAACAATTAATGCCAGATATAAGTTGAACTTGTTTTGGTTGTTTAAAGAAATATATAAAATCTTAACGAAATTTGTAATGAAAAGGCGTAAAATGAGTTTATAAAGCGAAGGGATCTGTCCTATAAATGTGGAAATCATTTCTTTCTTATTTTCATGTGGAAAATAACAAATCGAGTTTATTTGTTGTTTTCAATATAAAGTATAAAGCATGCATCCTGGTATAAAATATTACTGAAATTAATGTTTAGTTTTCAGCTGAAATTTGTATGTTAAAAATCTTATTAACATTTTCTATAAAATAGTTTTCTTACATTTTGAAGAAATTTTCAATGGCAGATTTTGCCACATTTTCGTATAACATTTTACAAATATTTCAGAGAATATTTTGAAATTTATAAACTTTAAAAAATTATTATCCAAATTTTTAAATTCTAACCCCCTTATTCACAAACAACATTTTTATTTTATAAAAGGTTTATAAAACAAAATTTTCATACAAAATCAAATTTATAAACCGTTTATAAAATAAACATTTTGTTTGTGAATAAGGGGTTAAATCTAAATGTTAGGAATCTTCAGGATTTAGCGATTATTTTAACATCTTATATTGTCAAATATTAATTCGAATTTTCGAACATCTCCTAAAGAACTTATGACTTTGAATACTTATTTTCTAAAAATACTTTAAAATTAATGAATATTTTAATATTATTTTAAAATGTTTATAAAATAAACTTTTGATGGCAGATTATGAAAGCATCTCGAATATTTTTCGAACATATTGAATTTTAGAACTAAAGTACGAGTAATTTTTCAAACT